ATGAGTGGGGGCCCAGAGGGGTGTATATGGGTAGGGGGTGTATACTGGTGGGGGGGGGGTGATGGTGGTGTATATTGGTGGGGGCCGGGGGGGGTGTATATTGGTGGGGGACTGGAGGGATGTATACAGGTGGGGGGCCAGGGGGGTGTATATGGGGGGGCCGGTGGGTTGTATGGGGGGGCAGGGCCGGGGGGCCGATGCAGGGGCCCCCCCAGCCAGCCCCAGCTCACCTCCGTTCCGCTGCTCCCCGACGTGAGGCGAGACCCCCAAATCCTTCCCCGCTCGGTGGGGCGCGTCCCCCGCCCCGGCGCTCAGGCCCTGCGGGGAGCGGGGGGTCCCTCCGCCGGGCCGCCCCCCATGCCGGCCGGACAGGGCTCGGGGGGGTGCGTGGGGGCCGGGAGCGCTGCCCCCCCGCTTCGGCCGCCTCCAGAGCCCGGCGCCGAGGGCTCCCCGCGGATCCCCAAGCTACCCGGATCGGGGCCTCGACAACATCCAAGGGGCCAGGTCTCTCCTCCAGCGGATCCCCTGCCCCCGATCAATCCGGAGTGACTCCGAATCTGCCCTCTTCAGCACAGCCGCCTCCTCCAGCAGATCGATCCAATTGCCATCCGGATCGGCTCGCTCCCCAGTGGGAATCCGGATCCCCCCCGGTTAGATCCAGAGGGGTAAATCCAGGTCGGGACGGGCCCCGGGGCGCCGGCTTGGCCCGGGCAGCCCCCCGCCGCCGCCTTGCTCCATCCCCAGGATCCCGGTTCGATCCGTAATGCAGGGTGCGGCTCCGGAGTCACGCCGGATTCTAGCCGGGAAGGGGGGGTCCGGCCTCGCCCCCCGATGAGCCCGCAGGCGGGCGGGGGGTCAGGCTCCGGTCCCCACAAAGGAGCCGGGAGGCGCCCGGGATCCGACCATCTTGTTCAGCGTCCACCGGAAGGTGCGGCGGGGGGAGGGGGTCTGGGGGGCAGAGGGACGTGGGGGGCGGAGCCGGAGCCGAGGGGGGGAGGGGGGATTCGGGCAGCAACGCAACATCAGGACCGGGGGCGGGGGCTGGGAGCCAGGACTCCTGGGTTCTCTCCCCAGCGCTGCTGACCCCCCGACACGAAGGGATACGGGACATGTACAAAGCAACTGCGCCAATCTGATGGGGACCGCAGCCCCCTGTCCTCGAAGCGCCCCCAATCCCCGGGGCAGGAGAGTGGGGCAGGGCCTGTCCCCTCTGGGGGGCGCCGGCTCCCACCGGCCCCAGGGCAGGGACTGGCTGGCTCAGGGGGGCAGGGAATGGGGTCTGGGGCCTGTCCCCTCTGGGGGCGCCGGCTCCCACCAGCCCCAGGGCAGGGACTGGCTGGCTGGTTCGGGGGGCTGCGAATGGGGCAGGGGCCTGTCCCCTCTGGGGGGCACTGGCTCCCATCAGCCCCAGGGCGGGGACTGGCTGGTTCGGAGGGGCTGCGAATGGGGCAGGGTCCTGTCCCCTCTGGGGGGCAGTGGCCCCCACCTGGAATTGGGCCCATCCCGCCTCCAGACCCGTCACCTTCCCCCCCACAGCCGGACCCCGTCCTCCTCCCGCAGCGCCGTGAGTCCCCCAGGAACCAACACCAGGGCTGTGGCCGGGACCATTTTTATTTAGCGTTTCCATTAGCTGTGTGGACGCATTTCACCCCCTTCAAGCCCCCACGCGTCTGTGATCAGATTTCTGCCCCCCCCCCCCGCCCCGCGGGGCGGTACGTGGAGCCGAGGCTCATGGCCCCCCCAACCGTCTCCGTCTGGTTCGAGCGTCTTGCCTCTCGCTCCAAGGCAGGTTTTCCGGCCCTGGATCCCCCTCACCTGCAACAGGGGCAGGGCTGACTTCCCATCTCAGTTAATTCAGAGTCAATCCGGAGTCACCCCCGACTGCAATGGGGTCAGGGCTGGATTCAGAGCTCACTTAATCTGGAGTCAATCCGGAGTCACCCCCGACTGCAATGGGGTCAGGGCTGGATTCAGAGCTCACTTAATCTGGAGTCAATCCGGAGTCACCCCCTACTGCAATGGGGTCAGGGCTGCATGATGATTTCACTTAATCTGGAGTAACTCCCGACTGCAACAGGATCTGGGCCCGATTCCTCTCTCATCTCCACCCGGCCTCAATCCGGACTCAGCTCCGAGTCTGGCTGTTCTTCATCACTCCGAGAGCCTCCCACGGCTTCCCCGCGTGGGGAAACTGAGGCACACACCCCCACACTCCCACAGCGACATTTCCTGGGTCACGCGGCGGTGGAGTGTGTAGCTGGGTGGCTCTGAGGTGCCGTGGGACCTCGTCGCACGGCGAATCAGCCGGACGATCGCCAGCCCCTCCGGCGGCTGGACCGACACATCACGCTGCAAACGACCCGCTTTGCACCACGCTGGGGCGGCACGAATTGACCCCCCCACACACACACTCCCCGGTACAAAATAAATACAGAGCCATGGGGTGGGGGGGTTGTGGGCTGGAGAAGCAAAGCAGGACAATGAACCGATGTAAGGTCTTCAGAGGCACGTGGCCTCCGGCGTGGGACCCAAGGGGTGGGGTTAGAGCAGGGGGGGCTGGGAGCCAGGACGCCTGGGTTCTCTCCCTGGCTCTGGGGTGGAGGGGGCTAGAGCAGGGGGGGCTGGCGCCACGTGAGAACCACATACAGGGTGACGGCCGCGGCTGGCAGGCAGCCGCTGAGGACCACGGGCAGGATGACCACGAGGCCCAGAACGAACAGGGAACGGGTCAGGGCCTGTCCCAGCCGCGTGGGGCAGCCGGGCGCCCCTCCCGGAGCACCCCCGGCCCTCCCCAGCCCCCCCGGCTCCGCCCCGCCGGGGCTGCTGTCCGTGCCGGCACCACCACGGCAGCCGGCGCCAGCAGCCGCAGGGCCCCGCCTGGGCCGGCTCCCCGGAGCCCGGCCTCCAGCAGCGCCGGGGGGCTGTCCCGCCCCGGGCAGGCAGGCGGGCTGAGCCGGGCGGCCGGGCTGGCATAGCGCAGGGTGATCTCCTGGGCCAGGGAGCTATTCAGTGCCCGCTCCGGCCCGGCCCAGCCGACCACCAGGTCCCGGTCGCTCAACACGCTCAGGCGCAGGGCGGGCAGCCAGGCCGGGGGGGAGCCGGCCGCCTCCGTGCCCCCCGGCCGCCCCCCGGCGCCCCCCAGCTCCTCCGCCCGCAGCCGGCTGAGGTGGGAGAGATACAGCTGCTCCAGCTCCGAGTCCACGGCCTCCTCCTCCGCCCGCCAGAGCCCAGCCTGCTCTGCCAGGCCAGCCTCCGAGAACGAGGCCCCCGGCCCCAGAGAGCCGGCCTCGGGCCCACGGCCGCCCCCAGGGGACTCAGCCAAGGGCACCAGGAGTTCCCTGGCAGGCAGCTCCGTCTCCAGGGACGTGGGGGGGACCTGCAGCTCCGGGACCTGCAGCGGGGCAAGGGAAGGATGAGGGCTGGAGAGGCAGGATCTCCCTGAAGCTCTGGGGTGGGGGGGCGATTGTGGCCCAGCCGTGCCTCAGTTTCCCCACCTGTGAGAAGCGGGGCCCGAGCCGGCCTTTGTGAGTGAGATTGGGAGATCTCTGGAGTAGGGGCTGACCCTCGCACCTGTGGAGACAGGGGCCCCGGTCTGGCAGGCAGGGCCGGCGCTGGGGGGCGGGCAAGGGGCTGAGTGGGGGGTGGTCTCCCCTGGCAGGCAGGCAGGGCCGGGTGCTGGGGGGCGCTGAGGGGCTGGGCAGGGGCCTCTCTCCCCACCCCACCCTGCTGCCGCCAGTTCTTACCTGTCCCGTGGAAGCTGAGGGCGATTCTCTTTGCGTCTCCCTTTCCGGGCTCCCTTCTGGAGAGAGAGAGATGGGGTCAGCCACACTAGTGCGCCCCTCAACCAGCCCAGCACTGCTAGGGGGAAGCTCGCAGCGCTGGGGGTGACCCCGGCTGGAGGCACTGTTGGGGGGAAGCTCGCAGCACATACCTTCCTCACGGGCAGGGTTTGGTATGTCTTCATCGCTTAGCTCTTCCTCGCAGGGCCTGTGAGGGGAGAAGGGATCCAGTCACTGCCCAGGGTTGGGGGGTGGCACCTTGCAAAGGGTCTCATGAGAACCCAGGTGTCCGGGCCCCCAGCCCCCCTCCTAGAGCCAGGGAGAGAACCCAGGTGTCCGGGCCCCCAGCCTTAGTGGGCAGGGTATTAGCCAGGGCTCCCTGGTTCCATTCCAGCTCGACCACACGTGCCCAGCTGAGCTTTAATGCCTCAGTTTCCCTTCGTTTGTTTAGACTGAAAACTCTCTGGGACCGGGACGGTGTCTCTGTGCAGCGCCCGACGCGACGGGGCCTGATCCGGGTCGGCGGCTCCACGCCAGTAAAACCCTGCAGCTATTTTGGGTGCGTTCCTGGGTTTTCCCCTTCCCTGCGAGTCACCGTCTGGGAGCCCGGGCCTGAGATCTGGGGCTGCGAGGGGGCGGGACCGTGAAAGTGCCAAGCCACAGCTTTGCATGACAGCTCTCGCACGCGGCCCACGCCCTGAGCTCGGCCCCCCCGGGATCAATCCGGAGTCACCCTGATTGCACCGCGCTCAGTGCTGGGTCCTGAGCTCGGCACCGGGTCCCGCCAATCCGGAGTCACCCCTGATTGCACCCCGCTCAGTGCTGGGTCCTGAGCTCGGCACCGGGTCCCGCCAATCCGGAGTCACCCCTGATTGCACCCCGCTCAGTGCTGGGTCCTGAGCTCGGCACCGGGTC